GATATCCTAGACGTGCGATGTCGTAACTTTGAGCGTGTTTCTGACAATGAGTATAGTTTGTCAACGTCTGTCCCTGGACAATGAGTATAGTTTGTCAACGTCTGTCCCTGGACAATGAGTATAGTTTCTCAACGTCTGCCCCTGGCCGACCACGTAGCAGTATGCGCGCGGCTGCGTGACAAATACTGGGGCCTGTTGTCAGGGATCACGACCAACGTGTGTCAAAAGTTATGACATCCTAGACATGCGATCTTCATTTACGATTCTTCTGCATGTTTCTGACAATGAGTGTAGTTTTTTCTTATCTTATGCTTCCATTTATTATGTTTTTTTATGGACTACGTTATGCTGGGTTATATTGTGTGCGACGTTCAGAATGTGTTTACCAAGCATGTGTACACCTCCTGGATGTCCATTCTTAGAAAAACGACTGCCTGCATTATAATCTCTCCACTGTATAGGGACACTGTCGAGTAACGACAAGGCTACAAGAAGCTCAGAACGCCCTCCTGCCCCCGAAGAAATCACATTCAGTTAGCCACTGGATAACGATGTCACGCACACGCAATAACGATGTCGTCGCATACGTAACGCAATCGCCACTTCGCGCGTAACTTCACATCTGACGCATATATCGACGCGTTCCCTCTCCGGCAGATATTCGACAAGGTGGTCCTGCGGCTGACGGACACGAACAGCAAGGTGAACCTGCTCGCGCTGCAGACGATGCGCGACATGGTGCCGATCATCGGCAAGGGCCTCGACCCCGTCGTCGGCGTCATCATGCCGCCGCTCACCAGCAGCATGGCGTCGAAGAACAAGGAGATCGTGAGCACGTCCGTAGAGGTGCTCGATCTCATGATGAGCTACCTCGGTGAGTTGTCAGCACCAAGCCTAGTTTAGCCACCCCCGGGCGATTAGTTTAGCTGAGAGGGTCTATGTCTCCCAGGGTACTATCGGAGGGTACCCTGGGTACGGTTTGATATACTGGAACGTACCCTGGTACTATCTAATATGCCGGACCGTACCTCGCCTACTCCACTAACGAGTCTAGGGAGTCGCCTACGCCTACTCCCTAACCCTACCCCTAACCCTAACTATATCCGATTGTGAGATATTGTGACATGTATTATTATGGATTGAGACGTGCTGCCATCGGGTGGTCATCTTTG